ATATGGGTTTTTGGGTATGCTTACCCCTCAGATGAGAGAGACGATATTTTCAGATAATTCAGAATATGGCCTCATCGGCCTAGGTTGAGGGTTACCCCTCTAGAGTTCACAGTTACAGAGTGGTACGCCCGGGCCAAGTATGGTACCGGGTGCCGGCCACGCCTCTTCAGGTTTGGGGCGTGATAGAATATGACCAACATCTAGTAGTTCTTTCAATTGCTTCCTGAGCTCCTCTAGCTCGGGCGGTGCCATACGATATAGGGAAAATGCGGGTGGCTTAGCCCCTAGCTCCAACTCAATCTTGTGATCCACCTCTCGCCTAGGCGGCAAGTTCTTAGGAAACTCCTTGAGCATGACGTCTTTGTTTTCCTCGAGCAACTTCTCTATGCAAGGCGACTGTGTCTCTTGAAAACTTTTATCTTCCTCCAGACTTGCGATGGTTGCCACGAACGTCAGCTCCTCCTTCTTGATCCCCTTAACAACCTGCATAGCTGAGAGTTGTGCTTGGATCTATCCGTGTGGCATAGTCACTGTAGGTACCATGAAAGCTCCTTCTCGCTCCATAACCAAGAGATGTTGGAGGTAGGGGTCGATCAAAGTATGACAATGTCTAAAGAACTCTTGCCCCAATATGATGCCAAAGATATCCATATCGGTTATGGTAAAGTTTGTTATACCTTTCCAAGTTCCCAATTTGACACCAACTCCATTAGCTACCCCACGAGCATTTTGTACCTCGGCATTCACAGTCTTAATGCGAGAGTTGGTTTGAGCAAGCTTCAATTCTAGTATCTTTGCGGTAACCTGTGTCACAAAATTATGAGTTGCTCCAGTATCCACCATTGCACTAGCAGGCTTGTTGTTGATGGTGAGATCCATGTACCGATTGCCATTCTCGATAGGTTGGATAGATTGCTTCGTGAAAGCACCGCATAATCCGATCATACCCAGCTGTGTAGTTCCCGAAATATCTTCTTGTGGCTACTCCCTCTGTTCACGGACCATGGCGCTAAGGCTCTCTAGGTCGAGATAATTCCTGGAGTTGTGCGGCCCTCCGCATATGTAACATCCCTTCTTCTCGGCCTGTGCCTTCTTCTCGGCATAGCCCTGATGGCCAATCGACTTTTTGGAATCTTGAGTTTTGTAGTATTGTTGTTGTATCTCCTTGACTTTGCCACGGTCTCCCCCACCTTTGACATTGTTATACTTTGATTCTTTGCCTTTGCCTTTGTCGTGCTTGTCATTCTTGAAATCCATGATTCGGCCTCCACTATGGCTTTGTCTATATCTGTGACTTGTCGGCGTTGTAACTCTTGCTTAGCCTAATTTTGCAACCCGTCCATGAAGTGGAACAACAAGTCATCATTGGTCAGGTTGGGGATTTGAATTATAAGGGTAGTGAACTCCTTGACACAGATATGTATGCTCCCTGTTTGCTTCAAATCCCTAAGCTTGCGCCTTGCCTTGTACAAGATATTGTTTGGAAAGAACTGTCGCTTGAACTCGACTATGAACTGATCCCACATGCTAATAGTACATAGACCTTTATCCAAGTCGGCTATCTTCCTTATCCACCATAGCATGGCAAAATCTGAGAGGTACAACACTACAATGTTGTTCATGGCCTCGTCATCCCTCACTTTGCCGTGCTTGAAGTAGTTCTCCAAGTTCCAAAGGAAGTTTTCCACTTCTTGTGCATCACGAACACCTTTGAACACCGGGGGTTTGGGAGCCTCGATCTTGGCCTCCCTCGTCACCACAATATTATTGGCTGCCTCGGTCATGCCAGCACTAACATGCTCCTCGAGTGACTCTGTCTTTGACTTCATAGCATCGACAATACTCAAAGCCTCCATGAATCTGCATTCTAAGGCAGTGATGGTTTGGCTTAGTTCCATCTCGCTCTGTGTGTGTCCCTCCAAGTCATTTCGGATACTCTCAATCTCTTCAAGAGTATGCCCCTCAAGAACGCTAAGGGTTCCTTCCACCTTCCCCAAGCGTTGGCCAAAGATCTCCACGGTGTTCATCCCCGCGTTCATCTTCATCACCCACTCTTTACCGAGCGAGACTTCCTCGGGCATGACCTCCACTTCATCCTTGCTCGCCTTAGTGGCAAATGGTTGTTAGGATATAAGCCCTTCATTTGACATATCCTCGGGTGGCACATCATGGCTATTGTTGGTGGAATTCCTCCTTTTGTTACGGCCACTCTTGCCAGTAGTATCTTGGATGACATTGGCTTGGGTGTTGGTAGCTTTAATTTCTCCGATGTTCGCCATTCCCTTAGTTGCAACCTTTGCTCTGATACCACGTTGTCATGTACTTAGTCACTAACTAAGTACACGTGCGACACTTGACAACTTGCTCACATTTTTGATATACCAAGTCAGCCTTACTACACTCAAGATCGCTAAGAGAATGTTAGAAAGAACACAAGAGAATTGTTAAAGGAAGCTTTGTATTAGAGAAAACTTGAATTGTTTGTTTGATGAATTACAAATGAATGACCCCCTTTATATACTAGTCTCCTAGGGGCTAGTGTGTAAATATTAATTGTTATACAAGTCCTTAATATTTACAAGATAAGGGCTTTCTCTAGAATTATCTACAAGCCTAGAAGATTCCAAGGACTTTCCTAGCAAATCCATAGGCACCTAGGGTCTTCCAAAGGAAATGCCCATACTTCTCTAGAATCTTCTCACAAAAGCTATCCTTCCTCCTATGTAAGCTTCCACATGGCATTAATATATGCCAAATGGTGCCATGATGACATGAAGGGTCATCACACTAAGTCCCGAAATCCCAAGTTTTTGTTAAAAGTGATATTCCATTAACAAAGGCAAACTGGTGCTCGCATTTACGATAACTGCAACACCAACTGCTAAGAATCAAGTCCAAACCAACCCGAAATGCGTATGAAACTCACTCGAGCCCCGAGGATCCACACTAAACATTCACACAAGTCTAAAAATATCATATGAACTTGATCCCGAACTCAAAAGACCAAAATAACCTCTAAAAATCATTAATCGGACACCAAAACACATTGAAATTACAATGAAACTCAAGAATCGCTAGAATCACAACCAAGCGTCTGATTCCTACCAAACCAACTCGGAATGACATCAAACTTTGTAGACAAATTCTAAATGACAAAACAGACCTATTCCAAGCTCTAAAACTAAAATCTTAACACGATAATGATAAAGTCAAACCATGGTCAAACGTAAGAGAATTCTAAACCTTCAAATTGCTAACTCTTGGCAAAAAGAGCCAATTCAACCTAAGAACATCCTAATTCAATTTCAGGCACACTTCTAAGGCCAAATTCACCGTACGAACATATTAGAACCATCAAAACATTGCTTCGAGGTTGTTTTCACAAAAGTCAAATCTTGGTCAATATTTTCAACTTAAGCTCTTGAACTAAGAACCAACAACAACAACGACCCAGTAAAATCCCACAAGTGGGATCTGGGGAGGGTAGTGTGTACGCAGACCTTACCCCTACCCCGAAGGAGTAGAGAGATTGTTTTCGATAGACCTTTCGACTCAAGAAGACGAAAAGAGACTATATATCAGTACTATCAACAGAAACCATAGAAATAATAACAATATCATAAGAACCAGAAAATAGATAAAAAACAAAAATAATAACCAGTAAATAAGGCCTGGCACTATGAAAATGGAAGAGTAGTGTGAACAAAACATTGACCACTAGCAGTCTAAGATAAAATCCTATCAGACTAGACTCACACTAGTACGAATTAAAAGTATGCTCAACTACCTCCTAACCTACAACCTTAATGCTCGACCTCCACAACTTTATATCAAGGGCCATGTCCTCGGTGATTTGAAGCCACGCCATAATTTGCCTGATCACCTCTCCCCAATACTGCTTAGGCCCCTCTCTACATCTTCTCGTACCCACCAAAGCCAACTACTCGCACCTCCTTACTGGAGCAGTTGGGCTTCTCCTCTGTACGTTCCCGAACCATCTGAGCCTCGCTTCCTGCATCTTGTCATCCATGGGGGCCACACCCACCTTTTCCCCAAATATCTTCATTCCTAATCTTATCCATCATAGTGTGTCCACATATTCACCTCAACATCCTCGATTCTGCTACTTTCATCTTCTAGATACGTGAGTTCTTAACTGGACAACACTCAGCCCCATATAACATGGCTGGTCTAACCACTGCTCTATAAAACTTACCTTTGAGTAGCGGTGACACTTTCTTATCGTACATGACTCCAGATGCTAACCTCCATTTCATCCACCCCATCCCTATACGGTGAGTGACATCCTCGTCGATCTCCTCATCCTCTTGGATAACCGACCCAAGGTACTTGAAATTGCCTCTCTTGGGGATGACCTGCGATTCAAGCCTCACGTCTATGCCCGCTTCCCTCGGCTCGGTGCTAAACTTACAATCAAGGTATTTCGTCTCACTCGGGATAACTTTGCAATCCTTGCACAACCCTCTGTCACACCTTCTAAGAAGAAGATACTCAATATGAGTCTTCGCCACCGTACTTTGGAAAGTAACCAAATGCTCCTCCCTCTTCGGAAATTTGGAGTTTGCAATCACAAGATCTATGCCTTAGTGAAATCCAACTGCGAAGTACCTCTTGCGTTCTTATTCCCAAAATCGAAGCTGCCATGCACCTCGCCATAGCCGCATGCAGTCGACCCAATATTTCCAGTGAAATCTCCTCCTATAAATAACCTCTCAGCAGGAGGAATATTACGCACAATCTCATCCAACCCCTCCTCGAAGAGCCTTTTAAGCTCCTCATCCAAGCCCATTTGCGGCGCGTCAGCGCTAATCACATTTAGGGTGCATGCACTCTCCAACCATCAACTTAATAGTCATTAACCTATCATGCACCCGCCTAACCTCCACTACAGACTCTCTAAGTTCCCTATCAACCAAAATACCCAAAACATTCTTATCCTTTAGGATTCCAGAGTACCATAGCTTATACCCATCCTCATCTCTCGGCTTCGATGCCCACCTAGTCTCTTGGACATACGCTATATTGACCTTTCTCTTCAGGAGGATCTTCTCCATCCCTATGTTTCATGATTTAGTTCTCAACCTATAGGCTCCCTTGTGTCTCTTACCTCCATTGCCTCACGTCCCACCCCCTGTCTCCTGCCCCACCCCCGGCCCCTCCGAAGACATGACCTTCCTCTATTATCCCAGACTACAACCACTATACCTACAACAAACTAAGGAGAATCACTAACACATAATAGGCAAACGGAGCAAACTAAGAGAAAATAAGTTGTAACTACACATACGCTCATTGTATGATTTAAACTAATGCAAAGTAAAAAGGCAACAATTTAACTAACACAAAGAAGAGAAAATAGGAAAGCGGGAGGTACCAACTCCCGAGACTAGAACCTAGAAATTGTCTTGGTGTACACGACAATGTTTCGGCACCTAGCGCATTCACGTCCAACTTTTCACTACCTTTTACTGACACTCGCCCTGACTGCTCTCCTATGTTTGTGCACGCACTTCTCGATCGTCTCCAATAGCCATCGAGTATTACCTGATTGACACACATAACATCCAAGAACAAAAAAAAAGGGGGGTGGGGTGGGGCTATCACCGCTATCACTAGTGAAGCCCCAACAGAAGCAAAGAAGAGAAAAAAAGAGAGAATAAAAAACAGTAGGGGGTAATGGCCGAATAGGCTAGCACGCAAGTAAAAAAAAGGAAAAGTAGAAGGAAAGAAAGGGAGAGGGTGCCGATGGGGAGGGGACAATAAAGGGGAGGGGACTGCATTCGCCGGAATAGAGGTCACCGGCGGGACAACAGACGCCGGAGTAGACCGCTACTGTTAGGGTTGGGGGTGGAGAGGATAGGGTAATGAAGGAAGAAGAAAGAAAGAACAAGAGAAAGAGAGGTGAGGGGTGGTCTAAAATCTTACCTGGTTGCCGGCATCGGTGCTGGTAGGGTTCCGGCAGAAGATGACTATTGGGATTACTGCCGCAGAGAGAGGGAAAGACAGAGAGTTAGGGAGAGAGATAGTCTAAAGACAATATGATCACAAAAAGAAAAAAATAAGAACCAATTATTCTAAATCAAACAAGAACCTCCCCGAAACGAAACCAACCATCCCGTTAAGTCATAAAACCTCAAATACACATATGAAAAGCTTTAAAAGAGATAACAGGGCTCTAAGACACAAAACGATCGGTCGGGTCGTTGCAGTAGAAGATTAGCTTGAAATTCACATGCAGGAGAGCTAACACCGTGTGATCTAGCCTCGCACAAAAAACTATTTTGGCTTTTCACATTATACTAGTATTCTGAAGGGGGAGACCACATAAATTAAATGCAAAATGACCTCTTGGTCACTTAAACTTGCACTTGATTGCAAACCCGAGAAAGAAACTTACAACTTTCCAATTTGAACTCCTCAACTCATATATTTGTGAACTAATAAATAAATTTGACCATTGACTATGCTTATGTAGGAGCACATATGACATCGACAAAGTACATGCAGCCACAAAACTAGCGCGCGTGAGTACAATAATTTTGGATTAAATTTTTTCTAAAATCAGGAAAAAAAATTAAAATAAATGAAAAAGAAATAAAGGCCCCATCCCATCCCTGTCTTTTACCAGCACACCCTTTCCCCTTCTTCCTCGATCACTATCCGCCAGACCCCCAACCCCTTTCTAGCTACAAATAACTAGCTGGCTAATATTTGTAACAGTTGGCTAATATTAGTAATATTTTATGAATTGACCATTTTTTATAATAGACGACTTATAAATAGATATAGCTGGTAGTTCTCGTTAAAGAACTTATCTGGAATCTCTTCTCTCCTATTCCTCAACTAATGCAGACAAAATAGAGTTTAGCGAAAAAAGTTGAATTGCTATCCACTTGCAAATATCTTTAGGGAAAATACATAAGATGTACCATGTACTTGTGCGGAAAAATCAGTTTCACACTTAAATTTTACGGGCGTCCCATTACTAGGGGCGGATCTATATTGCAAGTTAGGGGTACCACGACACCCGCTCGCTTCGCTAAAATTTCTACCATGTACATAATATCTCTGTGAAAAAACGTATAAATAGATAGAATGGCACCCAAAAGTCACAAAGCGGAAGTGGGTGCCATTGGTTTAGCCTTCCCTTTGAAGGCTTTTCTTGGCCTCAAGAATGCAAGTTCGATTCCCTGTTGGAGCAGCTCCTTTGATTTTTCCTTATTTCTACTTATTAAGATTTCTTTTATTTTTAGTTGAACCCTAGGGCCTCATATCTTTTCCTTCTTTTTCGGTTCTTTCCCTCCCTTTATTACTTGTTAAGTCTCTCTTCTTCATTTTTTTTAACTTTCAGTCCTCATTTTGTTTCTATCATTATACCTTACTTTATAAATAATTATTTTCTATAGTAATTTTAATTGATTTTAATTAGAATATAATTTCTTTATTTTTAATGAAACGATATTAATTTATATATTGGAATATAATTTGAGCAATGTCTTCTATTGGGTTTTAAAAAAAAATTAAATGGCTTGATTGATAGTCGTTTTGAGTTGAATATCATAGGTTGAATGTTGAAGGTTTTTCTTTGAAAATAATTATCATATAACTCAACAATTAAGATGAAAAAATAAACAAAGAACAATACAAGTAAATTAATCTAGTCAAACAAAGAATATAGTGTAGTTAAGGTACCCTTTAAGCAAATATTTATATTGGAGGCGCTCTTTCATGAAATGTTAATTTTTTTTTTGTATTTTTATTTAGAATGTGTTTAAATTAAGCATTAAAAATTTGAACTAAAATCGAATTTATTTGCTTTGTGAATGAAATGCCTATTCAAATTAACCAAAAACTAACCGAACCGACCTATTATTCCTAATATGTCTTTGTAGCTACTGACATATATACTGTATGCATAATATGGTGGCACCCGCAACCTTCGAATTCTGAATCCGCCTCTGCTCATTACCTTCCTATACTTGTCAGAAGAAATTTTAATACCTCCATATCAACCCAAAATCACTCTTGAATTGAGCAGTGAAATACACTAGCGTCACATATTTCCACGTCATAAAATTTTTAAAGATCTTTTTTTTTTTTTTAAACAAAAGTTCCTTACTTCATCTTTAACAAACCCACCCCCACGCTTTACCTCCTCCTAAAAGAAAAGGTATTTCTCTGAAAAAGAGAGATACAAATCTGCACAAATAATTGGATAAAATTAACACATCATACCTAATTCTAAGTTTGAAATATTTTGGGTTTAAGGATCAAAAGCAGAACATAAAAGTTGTAAAGTTCGATTGCAAACAAAGAAGCACAGGTAAGTTTTTGGCCGGAAAAAGTTTTCCTGCTATCTTTTCTTATCTCCACTTTCTTCGTCCATTAATCCAATCTTTTTATCTAAAAAAACCTCTCCATAACTAAAAATAAGATGGAGGACTTCATCGGCAATTTTTTTGGATCGGAGAGGATTTCAAGGTTCTTCACACAGCAACCTCGTCTCTCATATATCTTTTTTCTTCCAAAAAAGCCTCACTAGAATTTTTAAATTGGATGAAGACCTTGGTGTCATGGAACATGTAAAGTTAGTGGAAGTGAAGGTTATGATGGAGCCATGGTGACTGATGAGGAGGAGGGTAAGAAGAAAAGAAAAAAGAAAAAGTAAAGAGAGAGGAGGCCCACCAAGAATTAATTATGATAATTAGTTCCATAAAATCCAATAGAAAAATAACATGTGCATAATTTAATCCATTTTTGATATTTTTTCACGATTCACGCGCATTTAAGAATGAATAGTTATTTTTACTGCCGCATCAGCTTTTGAAAGAAATCAAATTCACTTTGTACAAGTATAAATCAGCTTTTGAAAGATATCAAATTCACTTTGTAGTACAAGTATAAAGAAGTAATGAGACGCCCGTAAAAATTGTGTGAAAGTTGTCATTAGAGAGTTGTTGAAATAGTGGTTGTGCAGGGAAAATAGGAATATAGAAAGACTTAGGTTAAAATAATTCAGAAAAAGAGAGTCAAGTAAACTAATGATATAATAATTTCTTCCGTACAGCATATTACAGCTATGGTAAGGTGAAAGATGTCATCTCTAATGAAGAGCTCAAGAAGCTATCATCTGTCTCCCTTTAACATTCTCTCTTAAAAAAGTTGCAGATGGCAGATACAGCGATAAATTTTCTGTTGGAGAAACTATTGCAGGTATTGAGTGAAGATGTTCGGCTGATAGCAGGTGTACAGGAAGAGTTTCAAGATCTGCTCGAACAAGTACAAATTCTAAATGCCTTCATAAATGATTTTTCAAAGTTGGTGAGGAAAAGTATTATGTGGAAAGAAATGGAAAAGGCCATTCTGACTACAGTATTTAGAACTGAGGATATCATTGACGAATTCTTGGTTGAGGCGAGGCTTAACCAAGAGAAAAATATTCTTAGAAAGGCCTTCCATTTTGCTCACAACACGGTTAGACACCGGGATCTTTCAATAAAGATCAAAGACATCATTGAAGAGATGAAGAAAATTCCCCGCGGAGACAAGCAAGCTCTTTCGCCCGCAGAAAATCTTCAACTTGAAATTGAATCTGTAAAAGGTTCCGAGGAGCCGAAGGTATTTTCCAAAAGCCAACAATTTGTTTTTTCTTTCTACTTTTTTCTATTTCATGGGGAAGGACATAGGAAAAGGGAAAATTGGAAATAGTGAGAACCAAATCTACACCTACTACTTTTTTTTGTTTTTAATTTTTTTTATCGATACTACTAAACTATAAATTTTGGCGGTAAACCAACAATCTTGAAACCTTCTCCAGTAGATATAAGCTTTCCTCTTTTCATGAGATTTATGGTAAGGAGCAGCATATATGCCAACATAGAGCCCGTTTGGTCAAGGTGCCAAAATCTGTTTATTACTTTTTTTCATGTACTTTTGAAACTTTTGAAAAAAAAAAGTTTATGTTTGGCAAATTCATTTAATAAGTACTTTTTGCAATATTTGGTAAACAAATTATGTTTGGTCAATCTCTCTAAAAAGTGTTTTTTGAGTGTCAAATTACAAAAAAAAATAGTACCAAGGTTTTATAATTCTTTTAAAGAAAAAAATGATCTTAAATATTTATCGTAAGATACTTTTATTATTTTTTATTTTATTTAATTAAAGTATAAAACATAAAGTAAACTAACATATTAAAGATTTAAATCAATTTTACGTATATAATTATACCAAAGCATATAATATTATCTAATATAATTACTTATTGTTACATGATGATTTGAATAATCAAAAAACATCATTAAGTATGAATTATAAGTCTATTCCACAAATTACTATATATTGATTAATCCACTATGAAATAATACGTAAAGTTACTCACACATCATAATATTTTTCAATAATTTCATCTCTACTTCTATCATACGACGCCTCCATATTAGTAGAATACTTGCCTTGCATTTCTAAAGGAATATCAGGAGGCTCATCTCCTTCCTCAATCTCTGCAGTAATGTCTTCATTAGCATAATAGATGAATTCCTTATCGGTACAAGAATGCCATCTGATGAAATTATGTATAGAAATGGTAGTTGTAACAAGATGATTCTGAGTGTCAAACTTGAAAGATGGCATTGAGCGTAAAATAGAAATAATTTTAAATATATAAAAATAAAATTTTTCGTAAAAAAAATAGTTAAGTATGTTTAATTCAAATTCAAAAAGAGTAACTAATTATTAACAACATATAATATATAATTTAATTTTTTTTAAATTTAAATTCAACAAGAAATTGATTATTACCTAACCTTACTAATTTTATCCTAAATTGCCAAGTAACCTATTGTGAGGTTGCCACTTGGCTTAATGTGGATGCTTTTTTTTTTCTTTTATTAATAATATATAGATAGTTTATGCGATGCAATTGTAAATTTATTACCTATTGTAGGTAATTTTCACAAATTAGATTTGATAATTATTTTAAAGATTCGGGAACTAATATCATATAACAGAAGAAATTATAAATAATTATTTATAGGAAGAGAATTGATAATCCAAAGAAGGATGTAGATAATTTGCTTTAGTGTGAAAAAGAAAAAGATAATTTGGAAAGTTACAAGACATTACACAAAGAAAAAATCAAAAACAAGAAAAGGCAATATAGAATTTAAAAAGTTACAATATGATTCATGTATACGATATCTTTAATTTTAAAAGAATGGTAAAAACTAAAAACAAAAATGAAAAGCTAAAACTTAAATTTGTAAGGGATAATTAAAAAAATATAAATTTATGGTGATGATAGTTTTGTCTTGAATAAATTAATTTTCAACTTCTGCTTCTTGGAAGAAGCTAGAATTTTCTGCTTCTTCCCAAATGCAGAAAAACTGCTTCTTCCCAAAAAGAAAAATTGCTTCTGCTGCTAGCTAAAAGTACTTCTCTTGCAACTTCATCTTCTCGAACAAGTTATTTAGATGAGCAACTTGAATCTTTTGAGAGCAACTTCTTGGGTAGTTGATATTGCCAAGATATAATACTTGATTTGCATGAATAGTATTAGTTGCAGGCGGCAGCAATAGGTCTCTTTATATAGGTAGGAGGGTGGTCAAAATTCGTCTCCAATTAGTGCTCTAAAACCTAGAATATTTCGGTTAAAGAAAGACTCTCCTAATTTCATTTGGTTTTCATAATTGTTTTTACCTCCTCAACTTTTTCCTTCCGTGCAAGTTATTCCTTATTTGTAAAAACCTTTTAGTATATGGATCCTTCAATAAATATCTTTCCTTGTTGTGCACTAACTGACTTCTTACAGAATCCATCTACACGTTTTTACACTTCACTCATCTAATCAATATTTCACTTTATCTTGTTACAAACCTGGTTCACTGACATCTACTTCACATAGGTGATCTCCATTTGTCAATCCTCAAAACACAACCATACTGTAACATGCTAAGCTCAACATGTGGACACCATATGGCATGCCTCTTCATGGCCTCAAACTCATTTACCCCCTCCCCCAATTTCTTCTACTACCAACACCTTCTATCCACTACCACCATCACCATTAAAACCACTATACTCAAATATTGATATATCATCTATTTAAGTGTTAGAAGTTTTTTGTAAGAGAACAAATTCTGAATATAACAACAGAAAGATACGTAAACTTAATGTAATATCAATTCTCCAGCGCATAAGAATGAGAAGAAATTAGTTTTCCGCCGTTCATAACATGTGAGTCATTAACATAGTTCATTTGTATTTAAAGGGTATCTTAACATATTGATTAGAAATGGTGAGAATATGAAGGAATTCATATATGTATATATATAAAATGAGAATGGAAATCGGTTTTCGGATAGATAATTGACTTGAAAATTTTGTAACCTTTAGTTACAAGCTTCATTAAGATTTTAAGCCATTATTATCATTTAAGAAACTAATAAGAATGCGAATCAGCTGTAAAAATCTTAAAGAACTATGCCAAAATGAAAGTTTAAGCATTCCTCTATGAAGTAGAATTGCAACTTGATCTATTCACATTTCCTTGCGCTAAAATCACTGGAAAAAGAAAGAGGAGAACCTACAACTTGGTTTCGCCGGAGAAATAGATGGGTAGTCGCAGCAGAGGGAGATGACTGAGTAGTAGTTTATGGTGATGGGGGTAGGAGGTGCTGGTGATAGAAGAAATGGAGGGGAGGGGGTAAATGGGTTTGAAGTAGTAGTGGCAAAATGGATTAAAAAAAAATAGTTATTCATCCATAGTATCCATTAAAAATGGATTAGATAATGAACTTTTTAAAAATGGGTTAAATATAGATAAAAATGATATTATCCACTTAAAAAATGGATAACAAATAGGTTTAACTTTTACATTTGTAAAGACTCATATTGGTTCTTTAAGTTTGGGAGACCAGGAATTCTTCCGAAAGTGATTATATTCAAGAAGCCATGAATAATATGGATATCTATATTATCCACCGGTTATCCCATTTTCTATTCGTATTAAATATGGGTCGCATCGGATAATTTATCCTTTTTTTGTATTACCCATTTTGAACTGCACATATCCGACACGTCTGTTTGCCACCCCTAGTTTGAAGTGATGAGGTGACATGTCATGTGGTCTCCACTTTATCAAAATGTTAGTGTCATATGAGATTGAGAATCCACCTAGGACAACCTTAACGAAGGAGCAGTATATCTTAGCCATTTGGGTAGTGCCAGGGGTATTTTTGTTTGAAAAGAACAACGGATGGTAAAAGTGATCCTTTTCACACAGTAGAGGGACACATTTGATCATTTTCGGTTTAATAAGAATAAAAGCATTTGCTCATCAAGTATGGAATAACTAGTATCTCCGTCTGAAAAAACACATTAAGTACTGTACTTTTGGATATATTTACTTTAGAAATTTATTTTACAAGACATATAAGCTGCTCAATTTGATATTAATCGGCATGTTTGAATAGAGGTTCATATGACAGTAGCATAAAGTTAAGACTTTTCTATTATATAATCAATACCTGATTTTTTTCTATGCAACCTGTTGCACTTTAAAAAGGATATTTCTTTGGAGGATGACGAAGTGGTCGGTTTTGATGAGGAAGCACAAAGACTGATCAAGCGACTTACTGAAGGATCCGAAGATCTGGATATTATTCCCATTGTGGGTATGCCGGGACTCGGCAAAACCACATTGGCAAGAAAAATTTATAATGATCCTCGAATTTCATATGAGTTTTTCAGCAAAATTTGGATTCATGTCGGCCAGCTATACAAGATAAAGGATGTCTTTCTTAGAATTCTCAATAGGTTCAGGAGAAACATTAAGGAATATCAAGATATGGATGCGAATGAATTAGCTAAGTTAATATGTTCATTTGTGGCTAAAGGAGGTAAATGTCTCATTGTCTTAGACGACGTGTGGGAATCAGAAGTTGTGGATTCTGTAATGAAAGTTTTTCCGAGAAACTGGGTTGGACACCGAATCATTATGACCACTCGCTTAGGATATGTTGCTACCTATGCCAATGAAAATCCTCATTATCTGAAATTTCTGAGTCAAAATGAAAGTTTTGAGTTGTTGAAAATGAATGTTTTTGGCAGGAGAAGTTGTCCCCATGAGTTACTAAGAGTTGGAGAAAGCATTGCAAAAAAATGTAGTGGATTACCACTTTCGATAGTGATGATTGCCGGTGCATTAAGAGCAAGAACGAATAAAGTTGATTGGGTACGAGTTGACAAAAATATGGGGGAATATCTTATTAATAAAGATGATGCTACAAGCTGCTTGAATATTATAAAGGTGAGTTATGATAGTCTACCCCAAGAGATGCAGTCATGCTTCTTGTACTGTGGTGTCTTTCCTCGAGGTTTTGATATCCCTATTTGGAAACTGATTCGCTTGTGGATTGCCGAGGGCTTAATAAAGTCCAAACCAGCATTCACCCTTGAAGAGACAGCACAGTATTATTTGAACGGCCTTGTCGACAGAAATTTAGTGATGGTGATGCAGAAGAAGTCCGATGGCAAAATAAAAACATGCCGTGTTCAGGACTTGTTGCACGAGTTCTGTAAAAAGGAGGCTAGTGAAAAATGGTTTTTCCAAGAAGTATGTCCAGCACTTGATCAGGCTATTATTTCTATACATGATCGAAGCATGTCTCGTCGATTGTGTGTTCAGCCCTCTGCTCTGCAGGATTTTCTCTCCACAAGACCATTCGTAGAGCATGTGAGATCTTTTTATTGTTTTTCCACAAGACAAACACAAATCGAGTTGCCTCCTAGTAACATCAGATCTATCTGCAGATCATTTCCATTGATTAGGGTCTTGGACATTGAGTCCTTAAAATTTTTATTCTCCAGGGATTTTTACCAACTATTTCACTTGAGGTATATTGCTATTTCAGGCGACTTCATGGCCCTTCCATCTGCCTTCGGTAAATTTTGGAATTTACAAACCCTTATATTAAGTACATCGGCTCCAATTCTTGAAATAAAAGCAGATATATGGAACATGTTAAGGTTAAGGCATATACACACCAATGTTCCTGCAAAATTGCCATCTCCATCTACCTCTACAGGTAAAGCTTCTAGCCTTCAAACTCTTTCTCAGGTTGCATCACAGTGTTGCAGGAAAAATGTCCTTGCAAAGGCTTGTCATCTAAAAAAATTAAGTGTTCGAGGGCCAATGAAGTCTTTTCTTGAAACTAACTGCGTCAATCTTGAAGAACTGAAGTTCCTGGAAGAACTGAAACTGTTGAATGATTTTCTTTACTCGGGTGAAGTGCTTCGCATTCCTGTAGCATTCTTTACATTTGTTCGCACATTGAAGAAGTTAACTTTGTCAAACACAAAGTTTGATTGGAGTGAGGCAAGTAGGTTAGGGCAGTTGGAATGCCTTGAGGTCCTAAAACTTAAACAAAATGCATTCACAGGAGAGTCCTGGAGGCCAGAGGTAGGAGGTTTTTTTGAACTCCGGGTTCTGTGGATTGAAATGGAAGACTTAAAACTTTGGGAGGCTTCAGAACTTCATTTCCCAAGACTTAGGCACCTTGTTCTTATATCTTGTGATAAACTCGAGGCTGTGCCATATGAGCTTGCTAGTATACACAGCTTTCAAGAGATGAGGCTGGAGAACACAATCAAAGCAGTCAAATCAGCAAGAGAAATACAACGCAAGAAGCTGGAAAGCATCAATTTCAAGCTCACCATATTCCCTCCTGATTCTGATGATTCGAAGGCTACACAGTGAAAGGTCAGTTTTTTTGTTCTTTAAACTGATTTTTATATCCATTGTAGTTTTCATGCAAGTTACACAACTACATCCAATCCCCTATTCTATTATTAACAATGGGAGCCTTGACATAATTGGTAAAGTTGTTGCCATGTGACCAGGAGGTCGCTGGTTCAAGCCTTGGAAATAGCCTTTTGCAGAAATGCAAGGTAAGGTTGCGTACAATAGACCCTTGTGGTCATGCCCTTCCCCGAACCTCGCGCATAGCGGGAGCTTAGTGCAGGGGCTGCCCTTTTATTCTATTATTAATATTAGATATTCCAATGAGGCTGCGTCTATTTCTATATGATATGTCTTTCATTTAGCTGAATATATATCCTTTAAGGCTGCTTCATCCGAGATTATTAATTTAGTGTTTTTCTTTTATTATTTTCGTCCTTTCTGCAGGGGAGATCCAGGAATTATGTTACCCTTAGATAATTAAGGAGTCACTGCATATCTTGTTTTCTGCAGTCTGTTGATGTGATTGACTTCATTCCAATAAAGAACCTGGTTTGTGTTTATTTTTTCAAGCATTGTGGAGTTTAAAATAGCTTCGGTTTTCTTATTGGTGTGCTTCCCAACCTCGTTACCTTCTTGAAGGTAGGGATAAGGTTTGCGTACATTTACCCTCCCCAGACTCCACTTGTGAGATTACACTGGGTTTTTTGTTGTTGTTGTTGTAGTATTGTGAAGTTTAAAATAGTCTATATGTGGTTACATTTCCTTTATTTTCTTTCTAGAGTTGTAATAAAACTGTGTTCATCTTTCCATTTCTGTTGTGTCTGTATTGCTTTACTTCTGTATTTACTTTCTCTGTTTAAAAAGCACGGATATAGTTGAAAGACATGTAATTGCACTTTTCCCTTTTTATGACATTAAAAAACATGTTTTTCCAACTAGATAATTGGGCTTCATCAAGACATATATATATATATTTCATACTTATGAACGTTTTTAATTTCATTCATATATAATGAACTTCTATGTTTCCTAGTTAATTTTTTCTTTGAACTCACCAATTGTCTCTGGTTCTTTGAGACAATATTAGTTGCTGATATTGAATAACAATGACAGTGCTGTTCCTTTGAAAATGAAGCCTCTATAGCTAGCTACTTTCACGAGTCAAAACTATTATTAACGCAAATGAGAAGGGTTACCCATTAGTCAATTGAACCATCTTAAAATATGTATAAGAAACCAGCAATAAATAATAATAAACAAATTTTATATTTGCATAGGGTTCTAAACTTGATTACACAAAGAAAAAGGGATTAAGAACTAGCATTCACCAACTCCTTTGTAGCTAAAGGAATTGTTTGCTGAGGCAGCAACCACAAAGTTGAAAGTCAATCAATTGGTCAACTTTGTCTCAATTACAAACTAGTCAGGATAGTTTATACGAATCCTCTACATTCATTCCATTATTCTAGTCATGGCTACTAAGTAAAATGTTCAAAGGATTCATTACGGAGGAAAGTAGAAATGCTATATGTTAGGATCGTAAACTCGGGTAGTGCGGAATTTAGCCAAACAACGGTATAATGACAATAATAAAGACAACGGAAGTTGATAACAACGGTAATTAAAGCAGATAAAGAAGACACCAATTTAACGTGGTTCGGTCAGTGTGACCTACATCCACAAGCAGAGGAGCAATTTCACTATAACAATATGAGTACAAAAGAGAGTACAAAATTAGAGTAAACACTCTAATTAATCCCAAATCTAAGACAATAACCTTACAAGATCACTCCAAAGAAAGGGATCACACAAGTGCTTTCCAACACTAACTCTCATACAAAACACTCTTAATAAAGGAGGAAAGGAAGAAACAAGAAATGAAGACTCAAGTCTTATTGGTGTGTCTAAAATGAACTAATGACCTTTCCTTTTATAGGCAAAAAAGTCTTGGCCTCTTAGGTGTAAAAGAAGAGATACAACTTGAATAAATGATGTCCACCACACAATGCAATATTTTTGGGTTCCAAAAAATATTGCCAACAAATTCTACACTCTCCAAAGATGCTTATGCTTATGTGAGATGGACTCCATTAACCAAAATATTGGCCATATTACAAATCTCCACCTTGACCTAATTTTGGATGATATAGTAAATTTGCTCCACCCTATCTGCAAAAGCACCAACGGGTATATGTCAAAATTTAATGTTATCAAAATCAGAAAAGTTGTCTGATACCGAAATTATAGTAGGGCCTATAACAGTGGATCCCAATAAAGTATACAACGAACCAGACCTGTGTGCTTTCATGATCACAAGAGCACCGTGAATAATTTTCAGAACTCCACCTTCACCAGTGAATTTAAACCCAAGGGATTCTAAAGTGCCCAAAGATATGAGATTTTTCTTCAACTCAGGAACATATCTAATATTGGTGAGAGTTCTCACCACACCATCGTGCATTCTGATCTGAATTGTACCTTTGCCAATAACGTTACAAGGAACATTGTTATCCAATTGGACAACTCCACCTGCAACTGAATCATATGTAGAAAATAAGTCCCTGCTAGGACACATATGATATGAACAACCGGGATTATTGTGACCTTTCTTATGACAATGTGACCTTTCAGTTTATAGCATTCAGAGATAATGTGACCTTTCTTATGACAATAGCAACACTCTAAATTATTGTATCTGGATATGGAGTCGGATTTGCCCCTAACAAATAAGCCAACTTCTGCTTGAGTTTCACTAGCTTCCCAGTAATATCATTATCTATCTGTTCTTTTGATTTTAAGATAGATTTAATATCCTTATTAGGGATGTTATCCTTTGCATAAAGCATAGTATCTCTTATATGCTTAAACGATGGGGGTAGAGAACAAAGCAGTAACACTGCTTGATCCTCATCTTTAATTTCAGTATCTATATTACTAAAATCCATAAGAATGGAATCAAAGGTGTCAAGATGAGAGAGAATAGAGGTACCTTCACCCATACAAATTGTATAAAACTTTTACTTCAGGTAAAGTCTATTTTTCACCGTCCTCTTCATATATAAGGTTTTTAATTTTTTTCACATGCCTTTGGTTGTGGTTTCTACAAAAACTTCACGTAAAACCTCATTTGAGAGATTTAAAATGATACATGCTTTTGCCTTTTTGTCTATGAGGGCAAACTCCCTATCCGTCATTTTATCCGTTTTTTTCTTTTTTCTTTGCAACGCCAAATCTAAACCATCCTGAATTAGGATAGCCTCCATCTTCAATTGCCACATTCCGAAATTTGCACTTCGATCAAATTTCTCAACATAAGTCTTTGTTAAAGTCATATTGGCTACTGAAACAAACCCGGTTAGATCCGGCTCTGATACTAATTTGTTAGGATCGTGAATCCGGGTAGTGCAGAATTTAGCCAAACAATAGTATAATAAAAATAACAAAGACAACGGAAGTTGATAACAACGGTAATTAAAGAAGATAAAGAAGAAACCCATTTAACGTGGTTCGGTCAGTGTGACCTACGTCCACAAGCAGAGAGGAGCAATTTCACTATAACAACAAGAGTATAAAAGAGAGTACAGAATTAGAGTAAACACTCTAATTAATCCCAAATACCCTAAGAGAATAACCTCACAAGATCACTCCAAAGAAAGGGTTCAGACAAGTGCTTCCCAACCCTGACTCTCATACAAAACGCTCTTAATAAAGGAGGAAAGGAAGAAACAAGAAATGAAGACTCAAGTCTTATTGGTGTGTCTAAAATGAACTAATGACCTTCCCTTTTATAGGCAAAAAAGTCTTGGCCTCTTAGGTGTAAAAGAAGAGATATAACTTGTATCAATTATGTCCACCACACAATGCAATATATTTGGGTTCCAAAGAATATTGCCAACAAAGTCTACACTTTGCAAAGATGCTTATGCTTATGTGAGATGGACTCCATTAGCCAAAATATTGGCCATATTACAAATCTCCACCTTGGCCTAATTTTGGATGATATAGTAAATTTGCTCTACCATCTCCGCAAAAGCCCCAATGGGCATATGTCAAAATTTAATATTATCAAAATCAGAGAAGTTGCCTTATACCGAAACTGTAGTAGGGCCTATAACAGTGGATCTTAATAAAGTATACAACGAACCAAATCTGTGTGCTTTCATGATCACAAGAGCACCGTGAATAATTTTCAGAACTCCACCTTTACCAGTGAATTTGAACCCAAGGGATTCTAAAGTGCCCAAAGATATGAGATTTTTCTTCAACTTAGGAACATATCTAACATCGGTGAGAGTTCTCACCACACCATCGTGCATTCTGATCCGAATTGTACCTTTGCCAATAACGTTACAAGTAACATTGTTACCCAATTGGACAACTCCACCTGGAACTAAATCATATGTAGAAAATAAGTCCCTGCTAGGATACATATGATATAAACAACCGGAATCTAAAATCCACTCATTGTCTGATCTGAAACTAGTTTCAGTTGCTAAAAATATAGTTCCCTCAATCTTATTAGTTGCTACACTAGTTTCGGCGGTGTCAATATTTTTGTGCTCATTTTTTCTTTCTTTATGCTTTTCTTTATTTTTCAGTTTATAGCATTCAAAGATAATGTGACATTTCTTATGACAATAGCAACACTCTAAATTATTGTATCTGGATATGGAGTCGGATTTGCCCCTAACAAATAAGCCAACTTCCGCTTGAGTTTCACTAGCTTCCCAGTAATATCATTATCTATCTGTTCTTTTGATTTTAAGATAGATTTAATATCCTTATTAGGGATATTATCCTTTGCATAAAATATAGTATCTCTTATATGCTTAAAATATGGGGGTAGAGAACAAAGCAGTAACACTGCTTGATCCTCATTTTTAATTTCAGTATCTATATTACTCAAATCCATAAGAATGGAATCAAAGGTGTCAAGATGAGAGAGAATAGAGGTACCTTCACCCATACGAATTGTATAAAACTTTTACTTCAGGTAAAGTCTATTTTCCACCGTCTTCTTCATATATAAGGTTTTTAATTTTTTTCACATGCTTTTGGCTGTGGTTTCTACAAAAACTTCACGTAAAACCTCATTTGAGAGATTTAAAATGATACATGCTTTTGCCTTTTTGTCTATGACGGCAAACTCCTCATCCGTCATTTTATCCATTTTCTTCTTTTTTCTTTGCAACATCAAATCTAAGCCATCCTGAATTAGGATAGCCTCCATCTTTAATTGCCACATTCCGAAATTTGCATTTCGATCAAATTTCTCAACATAAGTCTTTGTTAAAGTCATATTGGCTATTGAAACAAGGGAAAAGGCCCCAAAATGACCTTGTAATATTCGAAATGGATCAATTATAACCTCCGTTTAAATTTGAATCCAAAAATGACCCTGCCGTTATAAAATGGGTCTAATAATGCCCTTGTGTTATTCAAAAATGGATCAATAATGCCCTGAATTTTTTTTATTTTTTAAAAATATTTTTAAAAACTGAAAAAAAAACAAATATGCAGTGGACTACAACATATTTTTTTTAAAAATACTTTAAAAACTGATTTTTTTTTTTAAAAAAAAACTAAAAAAAAAAACTTTTCTAAAGCAGTGGACTACATATGCATTAGTTTAAAAAAATAAAAATATTTTGCAAAATCTTTTTTTTTCAATTTGACGGTTCAATATTTTTTCGATTTATTTTTATAAAATAAAAAATCTACCATAATTATCGGTACAGTTATAGATTTATATAAAAAACATACAGTTTTATTAAAAAAAACCTAAACATCGGTTCGGCACGGTACGATTATGT